CCCTGACCGGGAGTTGAACCGTGACCTCCTGATTCATAGGTCGACGCTCAACTACTGAGCCACACCAGCCTGGCTCTTAATGCTTTTCTTGATGATACCACACACACACACACACACACACACACACACACAGCAACCTGAGCTGACAGTCAGCAGCATTCATATCATAAATACGTTTGGATTTGGATTGCAAACATATATTTTAATGGAAGGCCTTTCTTGTATTCTCACGTAGCTGTGTCTCTGCGGTCAATCACCGACACTCAGATCAGACATCCCCCTCTGTAATCCGGCCCTGCCTGCTTGGCTCTCTGCCAGCCTCGAAGCTGAAGACCACCCACGATCAAGGGCCTTCTCCTTCGCATTGTTAAGTGCAGAGAGTCCTCCTCATTCTCAAGGAAGTGCTCTTTTCACACTCTGCCCACTGCGTGGCTTTTGCTCGCTGACATTCTGTGGAAGAGAATGAGATACACACACACACACACATACCCGCCCAGGGTGACACAACTTGAAATGGTCTTTATCTGCCTTTATCTGTCTCCGTTCTACATTTGTATTAACTGTGGAACCTCATCAGAATTGCTCTGGCGGTCAAATGAGACCACACGGACGAGGTACCCCCTGGAAAATCTCCAATAAAACCATCAGCATCGCCTTCTCCTGCAGAAACCACGCCACCCAGCCCCTGTGGGGTTGGGGGTCTTCCTTTCGACACGTTGGCTGGGCAAGCGCCTGGAATGCTAGCAAGACAACGAAATGGGCTGCCCCGTCAGAAAGCTGGGGTTTTAGGCACCATGTAAACACCCCCCCCCAAAAAAAAGGGGGGATGCAAATCAAAAAGACCACGACGCCATTTCTGGGTGGGTTGTTTCCTTATCCGGCGCATTTCTGTATTTTCCGAATGGTGTGCGGTACACACTTTGTAGTCAAGGAAGAAAAATGTTATTGTTAAAAGGGCATGTGGGTACACCCCACCGGCAGTGCCTGGGAAGCCACAGATTACATCAACACATGTGGGGAAACATTTGACAAATGTTACCGAAGCCCCGAGATAGCCATCAGGGGAGGCAAGAGCAGGACACGCTCCTGCCCTGGAGGGGCCGTGTCGATGGGGAGAGAAGGCTCGCTCCTCTGCCAGGACCTGCAGGGCCTACCCTGCGCGCACCCAGCCTCCAGGGAAGCCTCCTTTCTCTGAGGCTCAGAAACATGATGCTTACCCGTGCGGGCCCTGGAGCCAGAGGCCCTTGGTTGGATCCCCTTGACCTACCAATGGTGTGACTGTGGACCAGCTGCCTAGCCCCTGGCCTCCCGGGTCCCCGAGTACCTTGTCTGTCAGAGAGACCAACGTGAGCAATGCGGGCATCACTTTATGGCGCTGATTCACAGCCATTGGCTTTTGTTTGTTTAATTGAAGGCAAGACCGTCCGCCCGCAAGAAGAGCAGGACTCGCTTTATTGCGGTGGTCTGGAACCGAACCGCAATATCTCCGAGGTATGCCTGTAACCTCGGTGGGGGTGAGCCCTCAGTCGGTGCCCGCAGGAGGGCCGGGCACGGAGGAGATGCTGGGTAAGCCTGACAACGTGGCCCTCCCGACGGCACACCCAGGGCTGCAGCCGAGTCCTGCGAGCTGAGTGCCGGTGCCGCCCCGCAGACAAAGCAGGGGAAGCTGCACGCTGTCCCTCGGCCACGCTGGCTCCAGGAAAGCCTCAACTTTCTACACCACCCAGCGACACCCCTGCTTGGGGTGAGTTCCAGAGCCCCTATGTTGCCCCATCTTCCTCCAGATACGGCGTCAGGAGACCCGGCCAGTGGACTTCCTACATCCTCTGCAGTCCCGGCCAGAGAGGCTGTTCCACCTCTGTCCCCCTCCCTCCACGCAGGCTCATTATTCCTCTTTCCTGAAGCGGCGCATCCAAGATCTAAGGCGGCCACTGCTTCCGTGACCTTAGGAGGAGGCACCAGCAGCCCGGCTGGTGCAAAGACTGGCTGTGCTGAGCCTGAGAGGCAAGCCTTCCCGGGAGGCTGTCCAGACAGGAAACACAGACCTGTCCCCTCCTCCGCCTGCCTCCTCTCCCCATTCCTGATCAGCCCAAAGGAGAACTGCTTATCTTTTTGGGGGGAGAGGTGAAAAGACATCCTTGACATTAAAACCCTTGCCACCATCATCATCATCATCATCCGAGTTTCTGAGACGGTTTCAGAACATATTTGGGGGGTAGGGGGGGAGAGACACAGCTTAGTAATTCCATAGATCCAATAACTTATTTCTATTTAGAAAGAGACATTCCAGTATCTCATCGTTTAGCCACACCAAAACGACAACAACAAAAAACAAATACACCCCCCCACCACCACCACCACCATAATGTGTTTCTCAGCATGGAAAAGTCAGAAGGAGCAGAAGTAGGGCGCGATGAGTTCGGACACGGTTCCGTGTTCAGTCCACATTTAATGCCATTCTGTCAAAGAGGCTCCCGCCTGCAGCAGCACTGGGTAAGCAGGGGCTCTCAGCGGCGGAGTGCTCCCTGTGGCAGAGAAGCGGGGCTCTGCCTGCTGAGCCTGGGTTTGCCAGGAGCGAAGACTAGCCACGCACTGGCCCGCACAGGCCTGGCTGGCGGCAGCCTGAGCTCAGGTGGCCTGGGTGTGGCTCTCCCTCCGCCGTCCGCTCCTGGAACCAGTGACCCAGTAAATTCTCTGCACCTGCAGCCTCAGCACCACAGCTGTCCGGCTGCCTTCTCCGTACAGCCCCCTCACCAAGGAGTCAGCTCTGTGCTGCCCCCTTCCTCTCGCCCTCAGCTCTGCGGGTCAGCAGGCTCCGGCTCACCAAGAGGCCAACTCCCAATTGTTTCTGTTTTCTCCTTCTCAGCCCGAAAAGGCTGCAGGTGCAGAGAATTTACCAGCAAGGAGTCTTTTTGGCCCCAGCCTTTCCCTACCTGGCTAGCTGGTTTTGTGAGTCTTTCCGGAGAGGGAATGGCCACCTGGTATTCCTGACTCCTAAGTCCCCACTCTAACACGACAGGTTTTTTAAAAAGCATTTGTGCTTGCTGGACTGAACGCAAGGGGTTTATTTTTGACCATATAAAGACTCCGAGGATTCTGCAACTGCTCACAGCACTGTTAGTCCTCTCGGGAAGCCAGGTCTCCTCAGGACGGCCTCGTCTTTCTCCATCCCTCTCTGTTCACCAGGCCCGAACCTCCACCGCTAACTGTTCACCGGGCCTGTCCTGCTTGCCAGCCAGGCCAAAGGGCCTTGCCAGGGCCTGGCACAGAAAGCCGACACCCACAGGAAACTGCTGGAACGCTCCCAGAATTCCTTTCCCCGGTAGAAGCCTCTCGCTCAGCCTCCAGGACTCGGTTTGCCTACCACTTCCTCCAGGAAGTCTTCCTTGAATTCCTCTGGTCCTTCGAGTTTTCCTTCTCTAGCCTCGAGGTCCCTTATCCTGGCACCAAGCATGCTGCACACGCTTTGCCATGGACTCTGAATGAGGGCAGAACCCGTGCCTTCATCATAGTTGTGTCTGAGTCACATGATCTGAACTACAGGAGTTCCATATTTAGCTTTAAAATGCAGGCAAAGGCCCCAGCTGGTGCTGCTAAGTGGATAGAGCGTTGGCCTGCAGGCTAAAGGATCCCAGGTTCGATTCCAGTCAGGGGCATGTACCTCAGTTGCAGGCTCCGGGCCCTGGGCAGGGCATTCAGGAAGCAATCAATCGAGGTGTCTCTCTCAGATGGGTGTTCTGTTTCTCTCCCTCTCCCTTCCACTCCCTCTAAAAACCAGTGGGGGGAAAATATCCTCAAGTGAGGATTAAAAACAACAACAACAAAAAACACACACACACAAGAATGAAACGCAGGCAAAGCCGCTGAGGGAGAGGCTTGGTGAGGGGGCTGCACGGGCCAGGGAGCGGGGTGGGGAGGGTGGGGCTGCATTTCCTGGACAGCCCACTCTCCTCTCCTCCGAGGGAACAGCAGCTCATCAAAAAAAAAAAAAGATCGGCATTGGTGGGTAAATCATTAGCTTCCCAACAGGGTCAAACCATATCAATGCTTTTCAACTGTGTTCCTCCCCAGGTGGCGCGGGTCTCCCCGCGAAGAGGGGCAGAGGGTGCGGCCCACCAGGCGGCTCTGCAGGCTCCTCACCCGGGGGCTGGGGAGGCGGGGGGGCCCGAGGACCCCACATCACCGGGTCCCGGACGCAAACCCTAACCTGTGTGAGGCTGGTGGGTGGTGTGCCCCGCGGGGAGCGGGGCTCCTTTCCTTCCAGAGCAGCTGCTCTCAGGTGCACCCCGCTCCCCAGGACCGCACCCCCGTCCCCCTGCGCCCCCCTTCCCCCCGCATTTCCCATCAGCGCGCGCCTGTGGGGAGTGTCAGGATGGGCAGACCGGCCCTCAGGGGAAACCAGCAAGACGGAGACAAGATGGGAACCCCGAGACTGGACTCTTTATCGAGCTACCCACCCACCTGACACGGGTTCGGGAGCGGAGGGCCCTCCTGGGAGAGGCCTGCAGGCGACACCCAGTGAGCGCAGCTGTGCGCCCCCAGAACTCGTTCCCGGCTCTAGCCTGGACCATGGGACCATCCCCGTTCCTTCCCTCACCCCCTCGCCCACCCTCCGGGCCCAGAGGGTCTCAGAGTGAAAGCGGGGGACCCAGGCCCAGGGCCCCCCCTCCCCGCCCCTCCACACCTGCCAGTGCCATCTCCCCAGGCTCTGGCGGGAGGGGTGTCAGGGCGGTAAGTCCGATGCCCGGAGCTGGGGGAACCCGGTGCGCACAGGGGGAGGGCTGAGCGCCCTGGCCGGTGGAGCTGGGGGGCTCGGACGCAGGGGCTGGGGTGGGGTGGGGGCGAAATCCAGGTGGAGCCGATGGAAGGAACGGGGCGCACGCGGATGGAGAGGGCCTGGCCGGCCGGACAGGGGCCTAGACCCGCCCGGATGGAAGGGGCCGGGGGTGCGGTCCTCGCCGTGGGACCCCGCGCCCCTGGGCTGTGGCCCCGGCACCCACCTGGGCACGCCCGGTCGTAGTCGAAGCAGCAGTCCCCGGCGCGGCGGCAGGCTTGGTCGCAGAAGCAAGTGCCGTAGACGCGGTCGAGCCTCCAACCGCGGGCGGAGCAGGCGGGGTCCCGGCCGGGGCAGCAGCGCCCCGCGTCCCCGCAGCCGCCCAGCGCCCCGGGCCCCAGCCGCGCCAGCCACAGCGCCAGCCACAGCGCCCGCCACCGCGCCCGCATGCCGGCTCCGCGGCCCTGGGCCAGTGCGGCTCCGGAGCCAAGGCCCCTGCAGCTAGCGGCCCTGCCCCGCGGGCCCCCGCCCCACCGCACCGCCCCTCCCCTCCTCTCTATCCCCTCCCCTCTCCTCCCTCCTCTCCCCTCCCTTCCCCTCCCACCTCCAGGGACAGGGGCCGCGGCTCCAGGGCCCAGGTGCGGCGCGTCCTCCCCGTGCCCGGCCCGAAGGGAGCGCCCAGGAGCGCGGAGAGGCAGGTGCCCGGAATCCCGACCCCGCAGCCGGCCCGCCGCTCCCGCCCTAGGTCCGCTCCTGCCCCAGCTCCGCTCCTGCCCAGCTCCGCTCCTGCCCCAGCTCAGCTCCCGGACGCGGGGCCCCGGGGCGCGGCGCTGGGGGTCCGGGCAGAGGGCGCCGTGCGCTCCGCGGGCATCGAGCGGGTCTGGGCGGCGCGCGGGGCCCCCTGACCTGGCCCAGAGGCGCCCCGCTGTGCTTATTCCTCTGAACCGAGGAGGACCAGGGAAGCGTCCTCCCTCGCTGCAGCGCGTGATCCTGGTTTCCTGCCCAGGAAAAGGCCACTTTGCTCCCCTGAGGAGGCCACGAATGACCGTGCCCACGGGAAGGAGACGGCGAATGGGAACGGTGCTCTGCTCTCTGTTCCAGCAGATTCCCCCCCGAGAAACCTGCCAGTGATGGAAGAAATAATGTCCACGCTCATAAAGCGCCGGCCTGGCCTTTCACACCGTCTTCTCCCACCTTTCCTTCCAGATGTACGTGAACCAAAAGTTATCCTAGGAGTTTCATTTCAATTCATGTTCCCAAATCATTTACACGATGAAGGTTTTTTGTGAGAAACCATGAAGTTGTATCTATGAACCTAAGAAATCTGATTGGTTTGCAGACTATGCTTTTCTTTTCTTATACAAAGACTTCTCAAAAGAGGATTTTTTTGTGTATCTTTAGAGAGAAAAGCAACACATCTAGGAAACAAACTTTACTACAAAAGTAGTAACACAATACAGTAGTAAAACATTAAAATGTCTGACATTAATCAGACATTTAAAACAAGCAAAAAAGTTGTAAAATGGAAAAGATTTAGCACATTATAAGAATTGTGTTTTAGGAACTCCAATCACAGATCAAGTGTGACCAAAGTAAAATGTAATTTTTTTTCTATTTGTCTAAGGAAAATGCAGTCCTACGTAAAAAAATAAAAAATAAAAAAAATTTTAAAAAAAAGAAGAAAGAAAAAGAGAAAGAAAAGAAAAAGAAAAGAAAAGAAAAAAAGAAATTTTCTTTCTGACTATCAATATTTACATAAATAAATGTTGGGGCTGGAAATTCATTCCTGTCTTCCTCTTTACATTGTCTCCGTTACTTTTTGCATTTTAAATAAATAATTTATGCTTTTTTATCTTCTATATTTCTAGTTCTTGGTAGTTGGTACTAAATAGCTTTGTCAGCACATTGCACCGTCTGCCTTTCACCTGTATCGCAGGTTTTATTAGCAGCTTTGCACTACCTCATTCCTGTAACTTACCCCTCACCGCTTCCCTCGGGCTGCCGCTTTATAGAATGCCTGGAGCTCCACGTATTCTGTAACCCCTTAAGAATCTGGGATTGTTCCAGGGAAAAAAGCACAAAGGAAAATGACTCACTAACACGTTCATTTTCAGGAATAAAACATGAAGGAAAGACATACAGAGTGGAAGATGAGCTCCAGTTGAAGAGAACTGAACATAGAATGCCAAATGCTTCCTCAAATATTTTTTTTCACTTCTGTTGTTGCTTTTTAATCCTCACCTGAGGACATTTTTTCCATGGAGTTTTAGAGACAGTGGAAGGAGGGAGGAAGGGAGGGGGAGAGAGAGAGGAACATCGATTGGTTGCCTCTGAACCTGCCCCAAGGCGGGGAAGGGGGGGGGGAGGAGGAAGGGAGGGGAAGGAATCTAAACTGCAACCCAGTTTCCTGCCCTTGACCAGGAATCAAACCCAAGACTCTTCAGTTCTAGGGGGCTGACACTCCAACCACTGAGCAACACCAACCAGGACTTCACGCCTTTTTTTTTTTTTTTTTTTTTTTTAATATATTTTATTGATTTTTCACAGACAGGAAGGAAGAGGGATAGAGAGCTAGAAACGTCGATGAGAGAGAAACATCAACCAGCTGCCTCTTGCACACCCTACTGGGGATGTGCCCGCAACCAATGTACATGCCCTTGACCGGAATCGAACCCGGGACCTTTCAGTCCCCAAGCCAACGCTCTATCCACTGAGCCAAACCGGTTTCGGCATGCCTTCTTTCTTATCCCCGGACAAAACCAAAACCAAAAATCAGAAACAAGAAACAAAAGCTCAGAGGTTCTGTGTTCAGGAGGGGTGAGGTCAGTTCAGAGGCCATGACTTCTGACACACCACCTCAGTGTCTTCTTCTCAGACACAAGACCCTCAGCCTCTTCTGGGCACTGGGAGGTGCCCCGGGGGCAGAGGCCCTGGGTGCAAACCCAGCCCAGATGGACGCTGCATGACTGCTAGTGCCCTAATGCCCACCCATTCCCACCCCATAGCCTAAGACAGGCCGAGTTTTAACCAGCGTGCAGAGCAGGGGGAAGCCGGAAGTTAAAAAGGAGGAAGAAAACACCCCACCAATACATGATTGCTACTTTAATGCCAAACACAGAAGGGAGCTTGTCCCTGGACAGTCCTACTGAAAGAGCCAGCCTCAAGTCCAGGCTCGCTCGCTCTGCCTTGAGAAACCTCAAGATAAGGCGCCCCTAGTGGCCCTTGCCAAGCTAGCAGCTCCTGCCGGAACCCCGCAGAGTCAGGGGGACACTGACATTTAAAGCAACCGAGTTCACATTCCTGCTGGAAACTGGGTGCAGTCCCATGGAACAAACAGCCGCTTTGTTTCCCACATCTCCTAGATGCTTCCAGAACAGAAAGCATCCTAGTGGTGGAGTGGGTGCACAGAGGAAATGATCATCACACTTGCATAGACACCCCTTTCTTCCCCAGGGTTGCGGGGGGGGGGGGGGGGGGGGGAGCTGCCCATGACGGTGGGGGAAGGGAGGGGGGAGGGAAGCGAGGGCCTTTCGTCTGTGTGTCGTCCCCCACCCCCCCGACCACCTCCCACTCCAGAATGCGGTGATTGTGGAGGATGTCCGCACGTATGATCTCATTGGACCTCGCACAACACCACCCCCGCCCATTTTGTAGATGATGACAGGTTAGACATGTAGCTAATTAGTGGCCAAAGCGGGCTAGAATGAAAATTATTCTTTCCAAAACAGGGCAGAGTCTTTCCCATGACTTCACGCTCGGCGGTGGTGTGAGCTGGTAATGGAAAGTAGATACAAGCTAGATTGAGCACTGCATGGAACACTGTAACCAGTGCACGTGGAAATGAAAATAACAATAATTTGGCTGAAACCGGTTTAGCTCAGTGGTAGAGCGTCGGTCTGCGGACTGAGAGGTCCCGGGTTCGATTCCGGTCAAGGGCATGTACCTTGGTTGCGGGCACATCCCCGGTAGGGGGTGTGCAGGAGGCAGCTGATCGATGACTCTCTCTCATCGATGTTTCTAACTCTCTCTATCCTTCTCCCTCTCTGTAAAAAAATCAATAAAATATTAAAAAGAAAATAACAATAATTTGGAGAGCCCTTAGGATATATTTAAATAGAAGAGGGGTGGGGAGTACAGAAGTCACCCAGGATGCTGTGGGGAACGTAACGGGAATCTCTTGAGGCTGACAAATGGGATGGGTGGTCCTCAGGCAGGTCTTTCAGGCATTTGTCAAAGGTGGGGTCCTGCCTGGATATTGACTATCAGACACCTTCGTTGGTAAGCGCCACCGTTATTTTACGAAATAGGAAGATAGACCATCGCAGGACTGCCTTAGTGCGATTGGGCTGCTGTAACGAATTCCCATAAACCGGGAACCTTTTCCTCACGGGTCTGGGGCTGGCAAGTCCAAGACCAAGGAGCCGGCAGATCAGGTACGTGGAGAAGGCCTGGCTCCTGGCTCACAGATGGTGCTTCTAGCAGTCATTTCCTGTGGCGAAGGCCTGGGCATGCCCTGGGTCCTTTTATAAGAGTGTTACCGTTACCGAGGCCTCCCTGACCTAAGACAGCCCCTTAAAACCCTCCCCCCCCCAATCCCATCATCTTGGGCATTAGGGTTCCACAAACGAATTTGGGGGTTGGGGGTTGCAACACAAACAGAAAGGATCTCATCTGATGGAAGGGGAGGCTCAGAGGAGCTCGGTGACCTGTGACCTCTGACGTATTCCAAGGCCCGAGCCCCGCCCTGTCCAGGCCGAGGACCAAAGAGGGTAGAAACAGCCCTTCCCTACGGAGACCGAGGTCGCATGGAGCTGGCAGGCATGGAGCAGCCCCCGGCGTGCTGAGGGGGGCGGTGGGCAGTCTGACAGTCAGACACCGGCTGGGACAAGAGAGGACTGAATGTGGGTTTCAGACGAGGACTGGGTCACCATTCATCCCTTCCCCTTTCCCTGGGAAGTGATTTCGCCCCAGGAACAGCCCGCATGCCTTTTGGGAAGGTGCTGCCCTGAAAGGCTGCTTCCTGCTCACTTGGTGATGCCTCGCGTGCAGGCACCGACCCGGAGGTGCCGCCGAAGGCTGGTGTGCGGGATGGGCCCTGGCCATCCTTCCCCCATCACCTTAGCACATGCAGCCGGGACGCCACCCCCCTAACCCTAACCCTAACCCTCAGGCTTCTCTCCCCCTATCCCTTAGGTCAGTGGTCTGCAAACCGAGGCTCTCGAGCCACATGCGGCTCTTTGGCCCCTTGAGTGTGGCTCTTCCCCAAACCCCACGTGTGGGCGCGCACGGACAGTGAGATGGAAGCCTCGTGGCCCGCGCACCGACGTCGGTTTTCGGCTCCCAAGAGAAATTTCCGACGTTGTACTGTTGGTATCTGGCTCTGTTGACTAAGGAGTTTGCCGACCCTGCGTTAGGTTAACATAGAGTGGATACAGAGGCGGTCGAGTACATGCATCGATTGCCTGCAAAATAGTCATTTTTCTGTTCTTTTTCAGCTCCCTCCCCCCCCTGCCAC